AAGATTTTTCTAGATTCCTAATTATAGTTTTTTTTTTTGGTTATTATTGCAAATGACCATTAAATAAGATTAAGAAGTTTTTCAAGAAAATTACACGAAACTGGATTATGGATTGATTATAAGAAGACGTATAACAGCAAGACAGTTTCATCAAGATCAACTACTCTCACCTCGGTTTTCCCCGGTTTAGCTTTTCTTCTCTGGTTTAACAAAACCGCTTTCGGGTGAAACCAAAACAAGAGCTTATGATCAATGTATCTCAACAAGTTTTCCTTGTGGCTGCAAGTTGCCATTTCTCATCATCGCACAAAATTCCTCATAGTCTATTTTCCCATCCTGCGCAAATTTCACTACAAGATTCAGAATCGGTCAAATGTTAAACCGGTAAAAATGTAAATGATAGAAGGAGATTTACATTATTTATATCGACTTCAGATATTATTTCTTTGGCATTAGCTTCATCTCCCATACCATGCTCCTTCATGGCTATCTCCAATTCCTCCTTCGTTATATTCCTATCGTATAATTAACTAACCGATTCATATTGATGTTTTTCAACATTCTACATCTCTCACAACATTTTCAAATCTTTGATTTTTTTTTACACATAAAAGATCAATGAAAGATTAATTCATATTAACTTACCCGCTATTGTCTTTATCAAAGTATTGGAATGCTTTGTACAAATGTTCATCTCGTTCCAATCTGTGTCTATGCATTGTAGCTGAAATAAACTCGATGTAGTCTATTGTTCCATTACCATCCACATCAGCCTGAAAATAACATATCATTATCTCTTTTGGATTCTCTCTTTCTTGAGATCAAACAAATGCGGTTTAAAAGAGAAGTTATAGTACTACTCACTGCTTCCATGAGTTGCTTAACTTCAGCTTCAGAGAGTTTAGACCCGAGTTTAGCCAGCCCGGTTTTCAGTTCTTCATAAGTGATTGACCCGCTATTGTCGGTATCCATTTCCTCAAACATTTTCTTAAGACCTTTGATTTCCTCTTCCGATAGACCCTCAGCGATAACCTACAAACCAAACACACAAATCACAAACTCAATTTCATGCACCGGTAGATATGAGATGTATGTTTCAGTTGATTAGTGTACACAAAGAATCATTTATTTATTTTTTGCTACTTCTTTTACCTTAAGAGCTAGCTTCTTAAGCTTGTTCATAGCTCGGAATTGCTTCAAACGTGATAAGACAACATTATCAATAGGCTTATCTGGAGCTTCGTTCTTGATCCAAGAATGATCTATAAACCCCCAAGGATATGCTAGTTAGAGACAGCCATAAACTCACACTTACATTTCAGACAGAACAAGATAAAAACATTTGAAGACCTAAAAATGGATTATAAGCTACTTCTGAATTCTTGTAGATGAATCTAGAAGCTTCATTTGGAACTCACCTACATTTCATTAGAAAGTGTAACAAAGTCATGAGTCTGCGGAGGTTGTTCCCATCCGAATCACTAAGTGATCTGAACCAAGGCAGTCCATTTCAGGGTCCAATACATAAGTAATTCGGATGGAAACAACCTCCACGGACTTAAGAGTCCGGGATTTGGTGTTTCAGTTTACCTCCCTTATTTCCCACCCATCAAACACTAATAAACAAGCCTTCTAATTCCAAATTTCAAGTTGATTGCTTTTGAATCACAAACAAAAGGGGCTTACTAAGAACATCTAGAGCAGTGCATCGTTCTTTTGGGTCTTTTTTGAGCATCTTCTCGATAAGGTTTTTCGCTCCAGGAGATATAGAATGCCATGGCTGGCTCTCAAAATCAAGTTTGCCTTTCATAATATCATAATCTACAATAACATACAATCACAGATTAAAACGTCCCCAACAAGAAAAACAAAACTAAAGTATTTAGTTAGCTTACCAGTCACAAATGGAGGTGCGCCGCTAAGTAGGAGGTATAATATAACACCTGCACTCCAAATATCAATCTCTTTCCCGTAGCTTTCCCCTCGTAACACTTCAGGAGCGACGTAGTATCGACTCGCGACTTTATCCTTCAATTCTATTCCTATAATTGTTCGAAACACAAATCAAACTATCACAAAATGTCATACATACTTCACAACATGATCAAATCTTTTCTAAAAAGCGAAACAAAATCATCGATAAATCGGTACTAAAGACTTGCGGTTTTTGAGAACAAAAATTCATGACAACAATCAAAAGGCCTTATGATGATTTACTCAAAGGTCAATCATATGTTCAAATCTTACCGTCTTTGATGTAAACAGAACACCCGAAATCGATTGCTTTGAGCTTAGCATTCTTATCATCATCACTCGAAAACAAAAAGTTCTCGGGTTTGAGATCTCGATGAACAACATTCGCCGAATGACAAATCTGGACAGCATTCACAATCGAAGTGAAGATCTCAGCAGCATCTTTCTCCGAGTAGTAGCTATGTGACTTAACCAAAGCATCAATCTTGTCGTATAACTCACCACCATTACACAACTCCATCACAATGTGTACAGATTTCTTATCCTCGTAAGAACCTTTGATCTGTACGATGTTGGAAACTCCTGAAAGATCTTTCATGATCTCAATCTCTGTATTCACTGCTTTTTTGTCTTCTTCTCTGATTAGCTTCCTCTTTGGTATGGATTTGCAAGCGTAAGTGTTGCCTGTTGAAATCTCTTGGCACGAGTAAGTTGTACCAAAACCGCCTTTACCAAGTACCTTACCGATGCTATAAAGCTTGTTGAGCTCTACCAATGGCTTCCCTAATACCGTGCCTTGCACGAAATCAGACGGTGGTAGGGTTTTACTGCCGCAGCAACCCATTGATCTGAGGTTTTTAGGGGTTTTTTTAAGTAAAAATGATCGAAGAGAATTCAGATTGATGAAGATCTCTGTTTTTGGCTGGAAGCATTTAAATAGTAGAAAATTGGTCTTTAAATATTCATTTCATATTGGTCTTTTTTTTTCCTTGTGGCGACATTAAATTAGTTTTGGTCTTTAAATATTCAAAACTTGGTCATTTCACTTATGAACAAAACTTGTTTACGCGTAACATTAGTAGACTTTTTGTTTGCCAATTTTTGTGTGTGAAAACAATACAACATTTTTATAAATAAAATATATATATCAGTTATATGCTCCTATCGTGCGGCCCACGTATAGAACATCCAGCATATATGCAGAGAAGCAAAGAATAAATCCATTTTATAGGTTTTGAAATGATAATAATAAAAGATTAAGCACCTAACTGATGCATCTCTCTTTTTATTATATACTAAGAAGAATACTAAGTAATATCAATTTTAAGGTATTTTACATATAAACATTTTTACAGAAAAGAATTAGTCGTTTAAAGTCTTCATAACGATTAAGGAGGTTCACAAGAAAAATGACCAAACAAAAAAAGTGGATTTGTTATGGTTACAAAGAGCTAAGACATGAAACTCGGTTTCAACTTTCAACTAAAGAGAAGAATTAACAAGTATGTTCTCATGAAATGACTTTTAAACTAAACCTTCATAGGATCAACACTTAAACACAGAAGAAGGAACATTTTGAGACAGTATATCAACTACTCTCACCTTAGTTTTCCCCGGTTTAGCTCCTCTTTCCGGGTTTAAGAATTGCTTTTGGTTGATAAACTGTAGGGATCTCTATGCCTGCGCATTTGTCCTGATCAATGGAATGGAAGCAGTTTACCTTGTGGCTGCGTGGAGCCGCTTCTCATCATTGCACAGAATTCCTCAAAGTTTATTCTTCCATCCTGTATAGAGTCATTACATAGTTTCAGAACCAGTTTTAATGTTTGGTTTTGCCTTATTTTAATGACTAATGAGTATGACTTACATTGTCGGTATCAACTTCGGATATAACTTCTTTGATGCTAGCTTCATCACCCATCCCATATTCCTTCATGGCACTTTCCAACTCATCCCTAGTTATGTGTCTGTTGGATAAATAAAGTAATACACATTTGTGTCAGATTATATGTATATAGAAGCAATATCACGTTCGATAGTTACACGTTTGAGTGTAATTCTATTGGCATAAGAAATGATTGATAGACTGATTCTTGAACCGTAAATGGCAGAAATATACCCACTGTTGTCTTTATCAAAGTGTTGGAATGCTTTGTAAACATGCTCATCTCGATCCAATTTGTATCTATGCATCGTCGCAGAGATAAACTCGAAGTAGTCAATTGTTCCATTGCCATCCACATCAGCCTGAAAAGTTGTCATTACGTGTTTCAACTTTTTGTCCTTTTTAAGATATCTGATTCAAAAGGTTAAAGTCAAGATGCTAAAGATAACTCACAGCTTCCATTAGTTGCTTAACTTCAATTTCAGAGAGTTTAGACCCAAGTCTAGTTAGCCCGGTTTTCAGTTCTTCATAAGTGATTGTCCCGCTCTTATCAGTATCTATGTTCGCAAACATGGTTTTGAGACCTTTGATTTCCTCTTCCGATAGACTCTCTGCGATAACCTTCAAACCAAACACACAAATAAGGCAACGGTATGTATGAGATGTCTCAGTTGATAAGAGAATGTGAGAGGTGGGAAGACAATAAACAGGATGCACAATTAGTAACGAAAAACGACAACTTCATAAAATTTTGAGCTACTTATGTTACCTTAAGCGCTAGCTTCTTAAGCTTGTTCATAGCTCGGAATTGCTTCATACGGGATAAAACAGCGCTATCAATAGGCTTGTCTGGTGCTTCTCCGCCTTTGATCCAAGGATGTTCTATAAACCATAAGGATTGCTACATATTAGTAAAGCATTACTAGTTAGACGACCATAAACTCAACAGACAGAAGATTCACCAGTGTTATTTTAAGATCTACTGACTCTTGTTCTATTGTTGATCCTAGAATTCCATCAAGTATGAAATTTTGATTTGATTGCTTCAGATCACATACAAATAGAAAAAAAGAAAAAGTAGTATTCACATCCTCTTGAGGCTTACCAAGAACCTGTGCAGCTGAGATTCGTTTCTTCGGGTCTTTAGTTAACATCTTCCTGACAAGATCTTTCGCGCTCTCAGATATAGAAGGCCATGGTTCGCTTTCAAAATCAATTTCGCCTTTTATAACCTCATCAAATATTCCTTTCTCATTTTCTACAATATATATAAAATACGATTACAGATCAAACCTTAAGAAGAACTAATCAAGGAATCTGGTTAGCTTAAAATGTTTTTTTACCAGCCCAAAAAGGAGGTACGCCACTGAGCAGGATGTACAAAATAACACCTGCACTCCAAATGTCGATTTCCTTCCCGTAACTTCGACGTAATACTTCAGGAGCAACGTAGTAAGCACTCCCAACTATATCCCGGTAGACTTTTCCTGTATTTGTTGGTTTCACAAACAAGTCAACCATATGAATAAAAGAATCAAATTAAAATGGCATACTTGACAATATCCTAAAGAACAGTCTGTATATATAGACAATCTAAAGCAGATGCCAAAAAAACGCAGATGTTTCATACTAATAGTCTTAAGCAAGCCTCAGCTTTAAGTCCTATCTCTATGCATTGGGACACAAGTCACCAATCTTGCTCATGAATTAAGCAATAACCAAACATTCATGACATTCTTATAGAACCCAAACATTGATTCATTAAAAGATCACTGTGCAAAGAATATCTTGTAAAAGCTAAACTTTCTATAAGGAAGAGGAAAATTTAATGCAATGGAACAAACGTCACCAATTTTTCTCATGACTAAAGTAAAAAATAGCGATTTCTCTGACACTAAAGAGAATCATTAACATACCAAAGCCAAAAAATATCAAACACCCTAACATGATTCTATCAAAAGATTAAACTTTAGCTTACCTTCTTCGATAAACACGGACAAGCCGAAATCGGTTGCTTTAAGCATAGCATTCTCTTCTTTACTAGAGAGCAAGAAATTCTCAGGCTTGAGATCTCTATGAATCACACCCATGAAATGACAAATCTGAACAACATTGACAATAGACCTAACGATTCCAGCAGCAGCTCTCTCCGAGTAATGACCTTTAGCTATAATCCTATCAAACAATTCACCACCAGCACACAATTCCATAACCAAATGTATAGATTGTCTATCCTCATAAGCACCTCTAATCTCTACAATGTTTGGTTGTCCAGACAAATACTGCATTATCTGAATCTCTCTCTTCACATCTTCTTTATCTTGCTTACTTATCAACTTCCTCTTGAGTATCGATTTGCAAGCAAAAGTGTTCCCTGTTGAAATCTCTTTACACAGATACGTAATCCCAAACTGTCCTCGACCTAATTCTTTCCCTAAGCTGTAAAATTTCCTGATTTCTTCGAATGGTTTACCTAATATCGTCTCTGGATCTCGAACAGAGATTGGATTCGTCGACGGTGTTGAAATCTGCTGATTCACGGTTCTGGGTTGATGGGTCGTTGGGATTTGAGGTTTTTGATGCTCGGGGACTTGATGAGCGACATGGGTTTGTGTCGGATTGGTCGGAACTGTGTTTTTTCTGGCGTCGTTGACGATGTCTCCTTGAGTTTGCCGGTGTTTACTGCTGAAGCAACCCATTAGCTAAAGATGAGATTTTTAACAGAGATTGAAGGAGTGAGAGCTAGATCGGGGAAAAAGATTTAAGAATTTTCTGGAAGTGGATTTTGACAGAGGAAGATTTGAGTTGTATATGTTTGACTGGAACTGGAAACTGGAATTATCAGTCGCGTCAATTTTGTGAGTGTAATAGAACTGTAGAAGAAGCTGTTTTTTTGTTAATTTGCAGAAAATACTCCGAAAATTAATTAATTAATTATAATTTGGAGATAATTAAGACTAATTGCACTAAATAAATACAGTGATTTATATTCGTCACATGTGTGTTACCAAAAATAGCATAAAATAAATTATGTATATATTTTTAAAAGTTATTTAATGATACATTATCAGATAAATATCGGAAATTAAACATGCCATTTTTTTTTTGTTTAAACCACACAAAATAACCCTTGTTAATGGTACTGAATTTGTAAATTTTGGGCTGACAATTCACGCCACAAATTATGCTAATTACGAACCCAATTTAGAAATATAAAAAGAAAATATCGGAGATCATTTGTTCTTCTAATGTCAATAATATCTTGGATATACTGAAACTTAAATATCGAATCGAGGTATTGAATTGGGCCGATATCGAGTGGTTTAACTGGACCTCTAGACAGCTTTCTTTGCGATGGCTAAAGAGAGAAATAGG